AGCTGAACTATCTACGAGATTACTCCTATGCATGCACACAGACGCATGCCATCCCAACTTCAAGAGGTGTGGAATCCGGAGAGATACTGTAAAGAGGATCGGCTAGTGGTCGAGTTATTCTTACCAACTGCTTGGAAGAGCCGACCTGCGCCACATCGCCGTATTTCTAATGGATTGGTCATCTGCGGATTCCAAAGTCAAAGAAAACCGCTGTAGGTTTCGAGGTAGAAGTGAAGTCTGTAGTCCAGTCAGGTAGGTAGGTAAGCAGTAGCGTGACTTCCCAAGAACTCTCTTTCTACGCAGGCTGGACGTTTGGATTTTTTTACCCTATTAGGTCAAGCTCGAGCTCCACACCCCCTTGCTCTTGACCAGGGACAACACCTCAATCGCTGTAACCTCTGTAAGTACTACGTACTACTACAGACTTACTTAGGGGCGTACCCTCCTTTCTCAATCCCTACTCTGGAGACTGTACGTCTGCAGCTCCAGTTCTCAATTCATCTAGCTACTGCTTATCAGCTAGCTCACCGATATCGGCCAGTGGGTAAATACCGTCGCCAATCGCGCGCCGACGCCGAGTTTCGATTCTCGATACCTACTAGCTCCTAGCACCTAGTGGCAACGCCTTTCTCTCTCCCCCCCCCCCTTGGCGGAACTCACAGATCACAAGATGGCGCGAGAGCTAGATTATACTCCGTAAAGAACACTAACGCTGGATATTGGGTCGCCAATCTGCTCTTTCTCTCGAGAACTGGAACAGAAAACTCTTTTTTTGGGCTTTAAAGTTTACCTTTCCACGTCATCTCCGCGGCGACGAAGTCGCTGGCTGGGGCTTGTCAGTTGTCGGTCGGATGGAACGGAAGCTGGGGATTGGGGATTGGGAAGGGAACGTCTCCGGAGTCCTCAGAGAGAGAGAGAGAGAGAGAGAGAAATCGTGGAGGCAGGGAAGCGGAGGAGGTACCTAGTCCTCTGGGTGACGGGGGATGGTTGCTGATGGTTGCAATATTTGAGTTGTGGAGAGAAAGAGAGGATCGATTGACTCGCTTGTTTTGTTTTCTCGTCTTTTGGGTTGGTTGTTCTTGGGGCCTCGGTCGGCTGCCGAAGAGAGCGGTTTGTATGCTACTGTTTTGTTCAAGTTAATCGCTGTTCGATCGTGGACGTGGAAGTGGACGTGGACGGGGCTACCTGAAGCTTCGTGTGGCGTTCTGCATCTTCGTATAGGCTGTTTTCGTTTGTCTAATAGGATAGGAGGTACAAAATCTCGCCCTTGCCTAGAGAAACTACAGACAGCTGCTCTGCTGCCGCTAGCTTGGTGTAGATGAACAGTTTCGTCTTTTTTACCTCTACAATATTTGCTGTTGTTTTTGCTGTCCTCTCGGATCATGGGGATATGTTAACTCCTTTACGAGAGCTCAGAAACGCACCTCTCGCTTAATCAAAAATCTCACCCCCTCACTTTACAGTATCAACCTATCTACTACTTTGATCTATCCAGAGAATACTTAGATCAAAAGAAAATTATCCTGTTCTCAGAGCAATGTAACTGAAGTGATTGTCATTTTTTTTCCAAGACCGCAAGATATCCGATACCCGAGCTCGGGAGTAGTCAAGCTGCTTTGGATTGCCTATACTACTCTGGTCGCGGCTAAAACTCACCTTCAAAGAGTGCCTCTTGTTTTATGCTCGAGCTAAGGGTACTGGGAGTGTGATACAGAACTGGAGAGGAAGAAGAAAATCGATCAAGCTGGAGAGAGCCCACATGATTCGAGAATGGCCGACCACAAGGTACGCGGCAGAGATGAGGAGATTCTTAGGAGCGATACACATAACCAGGAATTGCATGAAGAAATTCGCTGAAACTGCAAGTCCCTTCGAAATACCAATTAGGACGTGGAATGGGAATGGGTTGATGATTAAAAAAGTTGTCAGAGACGGAATTCTTCGAGGAAAATATGTAGGCAAGTAGGAAGCTGCCTGCTTGCAATTCCTACCCCACAGCAAAGCTTTGTAAGTCAATGGAATTATCTTACGAAGAGGAGCAGCAGCAGCGATGGTATCAGTAGCAAAGATGCTCTTGACAGTGCCCTTAACCACCAAAAACCTTATTGAACGTCAGACCTCTACACCTCCTTCAGAAGATCCAATTACACCCGAGCCGATACACCGGAACTACGCAGCTTGGTAGTGAACACAGCTTTATAGGTCGTATTATAATCAATAGACACCATCTACCATATCCTCCCCGGGTGCAACGCCAACACTGAACCTTACCATCATCGGCGTGAGCACAGTCACGGTCCTGCAGTTCTGCACTGCAGTTTCCAATATTATAACCCTATTAACCGCACGATACACCTTCTAGATTCTCTGCGAAATCAACTCGGCTACCCTATCTATGCGCAACGGGCTTTCCCGGCCAGATTTTCTTTCCCAGCCGCGCTCCGGGGTCAATTCACCGGTTGTTTATTTACTCTCGAATAAGCGAGGGAAGAAAACCCCCACTTCCCCGCAACACCTCAACCGTGTCAGCTGAGCGCGAACGCACCTCTTGCTTATAGTCGCGAGGATGTAAGCTGCCCTGCGAGGTGTGAAAAGACTTAAATAGATCATCTCTGCCGTTGGAAAATGGCCAACGTAACGTGGGATTTGTATACACTTCAACATCTTAGGAGTACACATTTAGTTAAGGGCCACGCTCCTCTTTTTCACCTCTTCTCTTTTAGATTTACGTATCTATACATTTTCTCCTGTAATAGCTGGCTTACGATGCCCTCTGTGCCATGAGAGTGGTCAGGCTGGATTAAATGAAGGTGGGTAGGAAATCGTGCTGTCATTTCATCCCACCACTGTCATCTCCGTACTCGCACCTTTATTCTACAGCCACTCATACTCATACTTCAACTTAACACAAGTCAAATGATACCATAAATCAGGAAATGAAGCTGACTGGAAGGTATTCTCCGAATTACATTCTTCATAATGTCAGCCACTCATCAGCGTTGTATGCATCTTCTTCGATTCGCGTCCCTTTGCCTCTTCATATTCCAACAGTCCCTTCTGCCAGAAACACATATCCACTGAATGTATGCTATTTGCTCGGAGATTGGGCCTTCGTGAATCACTTTTTCACCTGTATCGCTCTTACCTGCACCCGGTCACTAACTCGCGCGTTGCAAAGAAAGATGAAACTACCAGTCGAGTCGGCAATGACGACGTCCAGCATGAGCGATTGATACCTCTCTCTCTCTGACATTCATCGCCAGTACGGAGTCAAGGATCAAGAAACAAGGATCGAGAGCTATTGCACGAAACAGTCCCAGACTACCCGCCGTCTTTGAAAATGATCGATTTCAGAAAACGCCGTGTGGGCTCGCTTTATGTGGACGCGCGATCGCGGGGGACCTGACAGTTCGTGTACAATAAGGGCTGAGGACTTGGACTTGTCAGTTGCATGTGCGCAGATGGAAGAAATAACGTGAATGAATCGAGACCGTACGATACGTAGGCTGCGTGCGGTGTGCACAAGAAACTCGATAGGGATGGATATCTCTCTGGACTCTGGACGGTCAGCTTGGGGGTAAAGTCGGGCATCGATGCATCGCCAGATCACCTCAACCATCCTCTTCACACATCCACCACGTTCATACGATACTCAGCGATATTCATTTTTCAATTTTTTCCCCCGAAAATATACTGCCGACAATATCCTGGGTAGGATCTGCGACATTTCAAATGTCCAAAGGTCCAAGACTTGGCAGTAATAATCAGAATAACAGCAAAAAAAATAAAAAAAGAATAAAAAAACCGTCAACATTTCACTCCCATAATCCCTCCCACTGGTCAAGTTCCCTTCCTGCCACCAGCTTCCTGCCTTGATCTCCTCCATCGTCTCATCCGCACACCCGACATCATAACCCTCAGTTCTAGCGCTGAGAGGCGCACAAGAGCCATAAGAAAAACCACCGTCTTTCCAAAAAGCCATTCGCAACACCACACCACACAACACCACACGATGAAATCAACATATTACATCCCCCAACCCCCCCTCGCTTCATCGAGCCCCATCACACCCGCTGCGTCGCTTTTCCCATACATAGGTAGTATAAGCTCCTCGGTTCCTTCCCCTTTCCCCCCTCTCGTCTTCCTAATTGTCCGTATTTCCTCATATAAACCCACTCTATTTCCAGCAGAAGAAACCAACCTCAACGCGACAACCGTCAGCGTCTATCCATTTTCAGATGCTGAGATGCCTTCTCTGCAGCAGTCGCATCTGGTTAAATCAGAGTTGCTGCGGTACGAAAAATGTGGGATAGAGCGCTGCAGACTAACTGGGCTGAGGGTGGGAAATGGGCGGGATCAATAGGCGAGGTGGGAGAGGGAGGCGATGGATGATAGCAGTAGCAGGTACACTTGACAGCAGGAGCGAGTAAGATTGACAGCAGTTGCAAGTACACTTGATATCTACGGAGCTGCTAGACTTGTTTTGAGCTGTGCTGGGTTGCCAACACACGGAGATGGGTACAGCTGGTTTTCAGCGCTTCCGCTTCTGCCTCTTGGGTAGAGTGTGACAAGTCTTCCTGGTACTTGTGGGTAAGTTTACGTGGATGCGAAAGGTATTCTTATATACATGAATCGTACAATAAGAGAACATGTATTAAATTCTGCAACTTGATATGATCAGAAACGTGAAAGGCAAGCAAAGGAATACCGAGGACAGATTTGTGGAACAATGGACCCTCAATTGCTTGATTACTCTCTTCTCTCTTCGCCGTCTATCCCCTTCCAAAATTCAACCAGGCCAGTACTCCAGAAACAACAACCAAATGCCATCTCCAAAACCGAGTCCCGCGGAAAATTGACACCCAACCTGAGCACAACAGCCAACGCCGAGCTATGCCAGCCAAGACGGATGGGACGGACATAACACACAAACTTCCACCGTCCGTCACTATGCATATTACTCTCCTCCCTTCTCATGCAATCGCCCACTTTCCGGACTTTTAACCATTTCTAGGACTTCTCCTGCGTCCTGTACCCCCCACCTGCGCCGATGGATTCATCATACTCGTTCCCGGATCAACATTCTCCCTCCCCTCCAAGGCAACAACACTCCTTTTGTTCTTCAGCACTGGCAGCTTGCCACCATTGACATTGCGCTTAAGACTTGGTATCTGAATGATATTCTCGTCCACCATTGGCTGTACATTAATATCCATCTCCCTCAGCCCTGCGCTCCCGCTGGTCAACGGGCGCACAATTTCTTCTTTGGCATCAGCAGGTCGTGAGGGTGGCGGGCCGAGAGAGTGCGAAAATTGCCGCGTGGCACCGGAGAAAGCTAATGGGTCGTCGTTGTAAATCACAGGAACCATGGAGGCCATACTCTTACTCGGACTGCGGAACTCAACTGGTTTGCGCATCGCAGCCAAGATCTTCTCATGTGCATCTGTGCGTGGAAGTTCAGTCGGGTATGTATATTGCACTTTCTGCGGTGTTTGGCCAGTAGGCGTGTATTCGTGGAAATTCGTGCTGGCAATGTTTTCGCGGAGGGTGGTGAGGGGTTCTTTGAGGACGGAGTCGAGAGGAGCGAGGGATTCTTGAAGAGTTGTGGTTTTGGCGGACATCTCATCGCCAAGATCGCGAACGCGTTCGTAGGTGGCGGTGAAATGGGAGCCAATGTTCGAGTATGACGACTTGACAGTGGTTGACAGGTTGTCGAGAGACTGGGTGTGGCTGTCATGGTGCCGGGCGTTTTGAGAGCGGGCGCGGGTGACAAAGTCGTCTAGAGCTCGCATTTGGATCTCGATATCCTTCATTTGCTCATCGACGATCCGGACTGTCTCCGCGTGGACCGAGTTTGTGGCAGCTTGGAGGGATGTGTTATGCTTGTTCGCAGCCTGTATTTCGTCAGTATATTGGATTTCAACATGCATCGCGGAGGACATACCACCCAGTCTTCCTTCAGTTTGCTCTTCAGTGTCTCTCGTGAGCGCAGCACTTCCTCGACGAGCTGTGTCTCCTTCTCATTCCAAGCATCCATTCCAGTGTTGTACTGAGCCTGTGACGATTCAAAGCCCTCTTTCGATGCCAGAACATCTTTTTGGACTTCTTGGATCTTGGAATTCAGGCGTGCATCCTGTGCCTCGCCTTGGGACATGACTAAATTTGTGATCTGTAAGAGCAGGCTTTGACGATCTACAGCCGCCAGCTCTTTCTCTTCGCGACGGACTTCATCGAGACGCGAGCACGCAGCAACATTCGATTGCATGGCAAGTTCGCTAGCAGTGGCCAATTGTTGGCGCAGGATATCTGCCTCGGCCTTTTGAGCGTGGACGTGCTTGAGAAGCTCCTCAAACAGACCCTTGAAATCGCGGCCGAGGGAGCTATAGGATGTATGTAGCTGTGTGTGGAAAGCACCAAGCTCGCTGATAACTTCTGCCGAAATCCGCTCAGCTGCAACAGACATACCCTGAAGTCCTTCGCCAACGCGAGTCTTGACGTCTTCTCGGAGAGTCTTGATCTCTTCTAAAACAGCATCCATCTCTTCCTTGGCGGTTCTTGTCTGCTCTGATACTTCTTTCTCGGATCCATCAAATTTTGCAACATTCTCTTCCAGGAATGCTTGCGTGGCAGCCAGTTTCTCCAACTCACCAGCGACAAAGGATTGCATTCTGGTGGAAACAGTCGCCATCAACTCCTGCTGTTGAACCCGAAATTCCTCGACTCTGCCCTCCACCATACTGGTGACCTCGGTCACCTGTGCTTGCGAAAGCCCCCAAGTATTGCGGTTCAGAGACTGCAAGTCCGATTTTCTCCTGTTCTTGGCATGCAGTCCACCCACATCATGTACAGTTCGACCCAGAGTCGACAGAAGTTCGCCTCCGACGGTGCTCAGCTGCTCTTCTGTTTCTTGATGTGCCTTTCGCAAGACAGTCTCTTCGGCAAGATTTTGTCGCGTATTGGCAAGTACAGTTTCGGTCTGTTCAAGAATATCCTTAGTCTCGTCGAGAATGGACTTAGTATTCTCGTTTTCCTTCTTCATAGTCATGAAATTGGAGGTCAAGGAATAAAGCTCCTGGACCTTGTTCCTCAAGTTTGTTTCCATGGTCTCGATTTTGGCGGCTTGCTCTTCACTGAGGATCCTTCGGGACTCGCTTTCCACAGTCATCTCCTCATAACTCTCGTTGGAGAGGTACACTCCATTGCGCTGCCGGGTGGCGATGAGCTCGCTCTTCAGTCTTTCAATCTCGAACGTGAATTCCTTCAAAAGAGTCTTCTTGTTGACCATCTGGTTGACCTGGGGTTTGTTCCGGATATTCTTCGCCCGGAATGCATAGTCTAGGGTAGAGATTGTTTCTTCCAGATTGCTCTTCGCAGGGGAAACAGTAGCAATGATGCATGTCTTCGTCCGTCCTCCCAGGGAATCCTGCAGTAGCCGAGTAAGCTTCGACTCGCGGTAAGGAATGTGAGAGCCGCGGTCGACCAGAGCATTGATGACCCTTCCTAAAGTCAACAAACTCTTGTTGATCAGTCCAGCCTCAGCAGCGCGCTTGTTCTCGGCTCCACTGCGTTGGATGTTTTCGCTACCAGCCAAATCCACCAGGTTCAGTTTTCCAGCACTGACATAGTCCTCGCCATTTTCCGCAGTGCGCTTGATATATGCCGTAACGGTGAATACCGTGTGACTTCGGCTACTAAGATCATTGCACTTGGTAGCTGCAACTTGTCGCTTGTGACTGCCATGCTGCAGAAGATTGATACCCTCGATAGCGCTCTTAATATGCGACTCCTCCATTCCCTGCACAATAGTACTCGAGTGACCTTTCTTAGAGTTGTCGTCGTAAATCTTTAGCTTTACATTGTCGTCCGGCGAAATTAGATCCCGGAGTTCTTCGTTGTAGAGTTCGATGAAGGAGCATTTCACTGAAGCTTCCGCGTCATCAATTTCAAGCTTGTTGAACAGCGCATGGAGCGCTCGGGGTATTATTCCTGCTGCGTCAGAGAGCATTCCAAAGGTCTCGTTCATGTCTCCGGACATCGTGTACGTCTTGCCAGTTCCAGTCTGGCCATAGGCGAAAATCGTGCAGTTGTATCCTGCAATCATCTAGAAAGCGGTCAGCATTGCCCACCCACACCTTCGCAATTTTCATACCTCTTCCAGGATAGGCGTCACCACATCGTCGTAAATCATGGCCTGGTCTGCAGCCGAAGAAAAAACCTTGTCGAATTGATACGACTTGTTGCTGAGAGCGCTGGGTCCCATGGAGAGATCTAAGCTGTTGCCCTTCACCCCGTTCGTTGATAGGACGACTCCGCTGTTCTCACGGACTTCGCGCTCATTGCGACCTCGACATCTGACCACGACGTTGATATTGGTCTCTTCCTCGTCGTGCTCGAATTCCCGTTCCTTTCTCTTCGTTCCTCCTTGCGTCGTAGCCACCGACATGACCGATCCTGCTGGGGATACTGCGCCGGAGCGGTCGATTCGAGCTGCAGGAGGCGCAACAATTTGAGATCTGGCGGTCGAAGGTCTTGGAGGAGGACGCATGGTTCGTTTGGAGGGCGCGACAATCGCCGGCCGAGGAATGCCTGCCATACACCTGTGGAAAGGGTGTTTGTTGATATATGTGGATGGAGCGCTCCTTTGGATTATGCGCGTCGGGGCTTGGTCAATTGACTTTTTGTGGATTAATGAGGAAGAGAATGCTGTGACATAAAGCTTGAACGCTCTTGAGTGACTGCGCAATACTCACTTTGAAAATTGGTTGTGATGTTGCAGGTATGATGTTGATGCGCATGTTGACTTTTAAAAAAAGCTGGAGCGCGAAAGTACTTACAGTGAGGACGCCGTTGAAGGGGCAACCGGTCTGCCCCTCCACCCCCCATGACTTGTGATCTCCATCCAGGTCAACACTCAACCACAAGACCGAGACCGAAACCACCAACGAAGATCAGAGAACCTGCATCTTCCGCAAATGCACCCAGAATGTCTCTATTCACAGCCCAGGTCTATCCAGGACAGGCCTTGGGCTTCATGGGTGAGATATCTCGGGCTTTTGAAAACTACCTATTCAGAGCTCGAGGCAGCTGACACAGCGGCGATACAGTACTGGGAGCAACACTGCACGACATCCTAACACGACTGAAGGCCGAGCCTCAACGATTTCCGCACTTGGATCTGGTGTACAACCAAGCTTACCCCGTCAGGGACCCAGTCATTCTCAACCTGCCGACAAACGGCGTGCGATTACGGTTCGATGGTCCAGCGCAGCGGTTGCGGTTGATAGAGGTGCTGGACTTCACCAAATGTCAGCTCGCATACAAGGATCAAAATGTGCTGCGGGCGGGCTCCAACGCACCAACGGTAGCTTCGCAGGCAGAGGACTTGCCAGGACCTACGTTCCGGCACATCTACAATCGGCTGCTGGGCCCAACCTTCCCAGGCGAATATATTAGTCCTGAGGCGGGGGACGAGACGGGCTTGGGACTCTACGTGCTGTCATATCCTGGGGTGGCATTCTCGTTTCCTTTGGAAAACTCGGCTTGGTCTCCGAAGAAGGATTTTGTGTCCCTACTGTCCTCTTCTTCCAGTCATCCGGCTGCCTCGATGGCTATATTTCGTGGGGACTCGTGGCCGGATGCTCGAGAAAGGCTATATGTTCAGACCATAGACCCCCGAGATACCTTCACGGCTCTTGTGAAAGGTCGCGAGCCTGTGCCGGATGAAGTTCGGCTGGTGAGGATCTATGGAGAAGGGCAGCTGGAGTTGGTTCGGTCAGATAGTGTTGCACCGGTTTGGATCAAGCTTGGTTTGACGTCTCCTCAAGAACTGGTCGCTATACTAGGTCCTCCAGATGCTATATACCGAAAAAACGATCAACGGATGTCTATTCACAAAGCTCGGCCTGAATCCCGTAGCCATGGCAGGTCGGAGTCAGCAGATATGAGACTACATGATGATTCTACAGATACCGATCAATCTTCGGCGCATACGGCGACGGATGACTCGGAAGAAGACGATGATGATGGAGAAGTGGCAGGAAATCTGTCGGGAGAATGTTTCTACAATTACTTCTATCACGGCTTCGATGTTCTGCTCTCCACTCCGACGGCGCCATCCCAGTGCCCGCCGAGTAGAGAATCCCGTGCACCAGAGCCGGAAGATATCACACCGTCTGATGCCTCAAGCCGCCTCGTTGCATCAAAGGTGATTCTCCACGGGAATGTACCTGGCTCGTACCCATTCAACAGACACCGCAGATGTCGGTGGGAGATTCAGTACCTGATCCCGAAGAAAGGTCAGGATATCATAGACTCTGAGAGTTCATTCAAGGAAGTGGAACAGAGACTGCATCAGGAGTGGAAGAGTATCTATCAGAGTAGCGAGGAAGCGAAATCACGTCAGCGTGGGATGGTGTTGAACCGTGACTGGGGAGATAGTCCTGGCAGTAGTTGTGAATTGCTAGGTGGGTGGGAGGATAGTGGTGGAAAGAGAACTGATTCTGCTGGCACAGAAACCACGCGTGGTCTGGGCAACACTACACTCTTTGGATTTCCAGGCCTGGTATTTGAGGTGTTGAAGAATGGAACGGTGAGCGGGCTTACGGTTTTTTGATGGCATTGCGGGATTTGGCTGGCTTGCATGGATATCGGAGTTACGTTAGGGCATTGACTCGGGTTATTCCTCGTCATTAGGAGTTTTTGGGCATGAATTGTAGTATAGGATATACTGAACGGACTGAACGAGTAAATGGAATGCAGAGATGTGACATTCCGTCAATATGCTCAATTATACACACGACTCGCTTTTGATGCCAAGAGTCTACAACTGACTCGGCAATATTCCACCGCGACCGCGTTTCCTTCAATATAGAGTCAAGAAAAAAACATTGTCCATACCATGGGCTCTCGACAATGCCCCGTCCTTTACCCGTAAAGTCCTGGCTATCAACTCTCCGGCTGCCCAAGTCAAATTTTCCGTAATGAATCCCCTCAAATTGCCCCTTACAATGCTAAATACATCAGTCCCCGGCCCTCGCTCTCAGCCATCCCCAAACTCCAAAAGCGCTGCACCGACGAGCTCTACGCCTGGCAGAGCAGCCAGGGACCTCGCCTCGGCCCCTTCATCTTGCACGATGGCCCGCCGTACGCAAATGGAAGCTTGCATATCGGGCATGCGCTGAATAAGATTCTGAAGGACATCATTGTGCGGGTGAAGGTGCAGGAGGGGTACAAGGCTACTTTTGTGCCGGGCTGGGACTGTCATGGGCTGCCGATTGAGATCAAAGCTCTGGAGCAGCAGCGCTTGAAAAAGTCGAAGAGTGAGGGAGAATTCGGGGAGAATGGGGAGGGGAATAGGGAGGTGGAGCTGGATGCGGTCGGGGTGAGAAGGGCAGCAAGAGCGTTGGCTACCAAGACAGTGAAGGAGCAGATGAAAGGGTTCCAGGAGTGGGGTGTGATGGGCGACTGGGAAAATGCGTGGAAGACTATGGATCCAGCTTTTGAGATCAAGCAGCTGGAGGTCTTTCGTGACATGGCGAAGAAGGGCCTCATTTTCAGACGATACAAGCCGGTGTATTGGTCTCCGAGTTCGAGGACGGCACTGGCGGAGGCGGAGCTGGAGTACAAGGAGGACCATGTCAGCACGGCTGCATATGTGAAATTCCCGCTGATGAGCGTGCCGGATGTGGCACGGGAGACGCTGCCAGAGGGGACAGAAGTGAGTGCTGTGGTCTGGACGACGACGCCGTGGACGTTGCCGGCGAACAGGGCCATTGCTGTCGGTGCTGAGATGGAATACTCGCTTGTGAGGAGTAGAGGAGATGTGCTGCTTGTTGCGAGCACTAGACTACCAAATATTGCTTCGGTGCTGTCTAGCGAGAGCCCTCTCGAGTTGGTTCTGGATGGTATATTGGGCAAAGATCTGGAAAGTTGCTCTTACACTAATCCTGTTCGCGGCAATGATGGTGGGTCCCAGCCCATCGTCTGCGCAGATTTTGTTTCTGCCGAATCTGGATCGGGTCTTGTTCATCTGGCCCCAGGCCATGGGATGGACGACTACGAGCTTTGTACGAAATTAGGAATTGAGGCCGTGGCCCCTGTCAACGACCTTGGCTGCTTCACTGCTGCAGCTCTTCCTGAAAACCCGGAAGTCCTGGAAGGGACGCCTGTCTTGGATGGTGGCAGCAAAAAGGTGTTGACGCTCCTTGGTGACAAGGTCCTCGCGACCCACGAGTATAAGCACAAGTATCCGTATGACTGGCGGACCAAACTTCCTGTCATTATCCGGGCTACAGAGCAGTGGTTTGCAGATGTCCAACATGTGAAAGATGATGCGTTGAAGCGTCTCGAGAAATGCCAGTTCATCCCCGGTTCTGGTCGGGCAAGACTAGAGAGCTTTATCAAAGGCAGAAGCGAATGGTGTATCTCTCGACAACGTGCCTGGGGCGTGCCTATTCCAGCTTTGTACAATGAAGACGGTGTTGCAGTCTTGACAGATGCAAGTGTTGCCCACATCATCTCTGTCGTCCAAAAGCGAGGCATTGATGCCTGGTGGACCGATGCTGCTGATGACCCTGCCTGGATTGTCCCGGGCTTGGAAGGATCCTACCGACGGGGTAAAGATACGATGGACGTCTGGTTCGACAGTGGAACTAGCTGGACACAGACCGAAGGACAAGCTGGAGTCTATATTGAGGGAACTGATCAGCACCGAGGCTGGTTTCAATCGAGTTTGTTGACGCATACCAGTGCTTCCGGGAAAGGCTACGCTCCATTCAAGAAGCTCATAACTCATGGATTCACGCTTGATGATAAAGGCAAGAAGATGTCCAAGTCTATAGGTAACACTATTGCTCCCAGCCAGATCATTGACGGCTCGCTGCTCCCGCCGATCAAATCGAAAAAGAAGGCCGGCGGCCCCAGCTCCCAGGCCCTCGGTCCCGATGCCCTTCGCCTCTGGGTCGCCAGCAGCGACTACACCCGCGACATATCCATCGGCCCCTCCGTCCTTCTCGCCAACCATACCGCCTTAGTGAAATACCGTTTGACCCTCAAGATGCTCCTCGGCTCTATGCACGTTCGCTCGCAAGCTCCCCTTTCATTACTTGACCAAATCGCCCTCATCCAGCTCGGCGAATGTGTCCGTCATGTAACCTCCGCCTACGAGAGTACCGAACATCACAGGGGCGTCAATGCAATTAATAGATACATCAACGGCGGTCTCTCGGCTTTTTACATCGAAGCTATAAAAGATAGACTGTATTGCGATGATGGGGGGGGTGTGCTTCCGGAAATTTTCCATGGGCTGCTATGTATGCTGGCACCGATATGTCCGCATCTTGTTGAAGAAGCGTGGGAGTATCGTCCCGAGTGGATGAAATCAGACGATGCCATATGGCAACACCCAGCCAAGTACCCGCTATCCCTGCTGCACCGCCGGATCATGAAGCCCGAGAGACTTGTTGCGGAGTCCTGGCATGTTCAGCATCTGATGGCTGCTAACGCTGCTATCAAAGCTGCGCAGGAGGAAGCTAGGGCCGACAAGAAAATCGGGTCTAGCTTAGAGAGTACAGTGGTGTTACAGGTACCGCCATCGGCACACTTGCTCTTCGAGGTGTATGAACATGAACTGGCGGCTATGTTTGTGGTTAGTAAGGTGAAGCTTCGGACACTGGAGCCCAAGGAGACGGGAATGGGCGAAGAGAAGGCGGGCATGGAGGAGTGTAAGGACTGGCTCTACGTGAGGGGATTCGAGACCGAGGGTGGCATGGCAAAGGCGATAGTCTTGCCGACGGAAGACCACAAGTGCCCCAGATGCTGGAGGTTTGTGGCACCGGTTGAGGATGAGTTGTGTAGACGGTGCGACAGGGTGGTTCATGGTGAAAAGGATGCGCAGAACGTAGATTAGTGTATGATATCTGTACGTATATCCATCTGTATGTGCATACCACTTGTGGCGTTTGGAATGAGGCGAATACCCAATCTCAGCTTGTTCACCTGTCTGTCTTTCATTTTTGGTTCTGTTTTTCGTTTTTCCTGTGCATTTCCGCTTCCGGGAAAATGAGAAAATCGTGTAGACGTGTGCTTTGACTCAATGGTTTCAAATTCTTTGCTGGACGGATAAAGTTTTATGGATGATGGATTTGACGGAGCTGTTTATGTGTTCGGACACCGAGTGGTAGGACTTACAATTGTAGGTTCGTTGCGACGCAAAGACGCATGTAAATTCTTTGTTGGCTCTATGCTTCCTTTCTCAACCGTGACGTCTTGTGTCCCTCCTATTCCTGCCTCGAACGTCTAGGGGTTGGTCGGTACGATACTCACGTGCAAATCCTGGGACTCAAGAGGCCGGACGTCCGACGCAATTGCGACGGCAGAGAGAGCCCTTGAGGGTGAACTGGATGCATCTGGCGCCGTGAAAACATTTCCCTTGCTGACGAGGTCTTGTGGGCTTCGCATGACAGCAACCGAAATCTCACGAAGTTCGTCTCGCGTAGATGGCTACGGACTATACTATGGTGGAGTATCTGACGAGCGCCCTCTCCACTCAGCAGACTGGCATCATGCGGCCGAGGTCGTTCAGTATATGCCAGTGCCATCTCTGCGTGAGATTCTCTGAGGTCAGTGGAGGGAACGGATGATTGGGGGTTGGGGCTCGCCTGCTGGGCATCTAATGATATACTCGCTTTGAAGGCTATGTTATAGATGCCCTTGGCCCAGATCCATGCTCCGTCCATCACCTGTTATGATACATGCCGCTCAGCAGGAGCACCCAGGCTCTTTGAGAATCCAGTGCGACACATAGGTTTTTCTTGATATAGTCACCTCTGACTGCGAATGCATAAACTTTTATTCCGCATCATGACTCTTTACATTTGATGGCTTAAGCTTTCTACAGCCACAAGCTTTAAAAGGTAAATTTAAATTATAACCCTTTTCATACTTAGCAAGATAAAGCTTATAACTATGAGCCGGTTTTATCTTATGTTATTACTTGATAGAGTTTATTGAAGCAGAAATGTAAAATGTTGGCTCTCGCTTAGCTTTAGAAGAAGTCTTAAATGAAATAGCGACTTCAGCTTTATCTTTTGTATCTAGGTCTATCGAAAAAAAAAGAAAGAAAAAAGAAGAAAAAAAAAAACACTCACACAGATCCAAGCTTCTCGGTGGTAATTAATCAAATTTTCAAAGGATTGACCAGTAAACACGAGCTAATGTCGATTTTTTTTTTTTCGGAGTGTTGAGCCTTAGTTTTAGTGCGAAAGGTAGATTTATGCATTAGCAGTTATCTAGCACTGTACACAGTAATCGTCCAGTCTGGCGTATATACGAGATGAAAAGGGCAGAAGGAACTCACACTTCAGAGCCAAGGCTGCATGTGTATGAGTAATGACCCTTGCCTCTTTTCTAGAGTGGTATCATGGAGGTGACGAGATTCATATTCTCGCGGGTTGAAGCTAGCGAGCTAGGGTGGATGGTGCAAATGCACAAGTCACGTACAAGATTGTGGAAATTTTCTCCTGGAGCTTCGCATCTTGAAGAGTCTCGTGGAAAGCGAGAGGGAACGGGCATCCTTAGCTCGAGCGAGAGTGTAGATTTTTTTTCGTGGATGGTCCGACATGTGCCGGCGTGAATGGCGTTTCTGGCTAGGGCACATGTCTCTCCGAGGGTCAGGCTCCATACGAAAGTCGCGTTAGGTGGTGGTTGTGATCAACTATCAGGTAGTGCTTACCGGCCAGTGTTGGTTGTAGGGCAATCTCTAGGCCGGCTTCGCAGCAGCACAGAGGCAGGAAAAAGGTTTACACTCGAACTGTGCATTATCATATCGTTTCTCAGACGGCGCGTTATGAGAGCTACGAGGTCCTTTAGCTTATCAAAAGAGAGTTTGGAGCTATTCGCAATCATGTCGAGTGTTTGGTGTCTCCTACTGTAGTCACACGCGCACCTCACCTTTCAGACGAGGTTGGAACCGATACTAGAAGAAATAGGGCTGGGACGTAACCAGAGCAACGAGGTAAGCTTGAGGACGTTAATGTGGACGTTAATGCGGAGCGGAACGAAGCGGCTGACTAGGAGATTTTTTTCTTCACGTTAGGCTCGGCCCAACCCAGCTCGGCCGGGTCCGGCCCGTCCGTGAGCAACGTCCGCCTTCACATCACTTCACTCACATCACCTGTTAGTTCTCTTCAAGACCCGCATGATACGCATGAGGCAGCCTTTCAATATTCAATACCTAGCATTGGAATTGAGCGTAAATGGTATCAAGAGATATATGTAAGGTATGTATAGGGAATGCGCGGCTCGCTAAGTACTTGGCATTTGCCCCCTGGGCTGTTTATTTGTTTACTTGGAGATGGACAGCTTCAAATCCAGGTCCCATTGTGATACCCTACATGTACTCTTAGGCTTCCGGCTAGCTGTTTAATCTATGATGTATTGATAGTAGGATGGTGTGACTGCAGGAGTTTTTCAAGTGATGCCTACATATGTAGTAACCATCTGGCTTCCTGGCCGGTGACCCCCCTAGATGGATGTGACATAGATTTAGTGCATGTTGATACATGGTTGAGTATCAAAGTGTTAGTATTAGTCTTGATGTTGGTATGGTTTCCGTCCAACACCTCGCAAGTAACGTGTAGAAACACGTGAAAAACTCGGTGATCTGGGTAGGCGAAGTGATCTAGTGAGTGTCTGATTACGCTAGTGAGTTTCTGATTTGGGAAAATTTGGCACCCACGAAAAACTATAAGAAGGTGAGGTTCGCCCTCAAGTTTCCCTCATCATCCTTCATCGTTCTCTGCACTGCCTCCTCCCTCACCCTTCAGCAACCACTCCTCTCCTTACTTCATCTTCCATACCACTTCTGACTTCGCCCTTCGTTGGCATCTCCTCTTGTTTTTTTCTTCTGCATCACCTCACCCCCGCGCCCAATTTATCCATGTGAGTCGGCCGCCTTCTTCCCTTCTGTCTCTTTCTCTTCCGCCACACAGAGGCCGTGAGTCTTCAATTGAAATCTGACACCCGTCGCTGCGGCGCATCGTGGTGGTGCACCCTTGACACGTCTTGGGCAGCTACGAAAGTAATTACTCGCGGACGGCGTAATCATCTGTGTGGCATACGGGTTGCCTGTAGTCGGGACCAAGAACACCGCTTTTACTGTCTTCGGATAAGGAAAGTTGTTGGTCTCCCCGTATTGTCGCGTTCTCGCCCCTTGGATTTTGATATCACTCACAGGCTCACAGATTCCCGGCCACCTCGCCACCTCGTCGCCGCCTCTTCTCGGTCACCTCCGTAAGTCCCCTTCTTCCATTTCTGTCCTTGCCCTTCTCTTCCCCCCTTCTCTCTGCTCTTTTTGAGCGGCACGGAATCGTGACGGCGTCAATGAAAGTCAACTCATTTAGACCACGGTCTCTATGAGGATGTGCCTGACCTACGGGAAGGGTGAACTTGGCTAGTAGTTCCTGATCGTTTTGTAATGGCCGTGTCCGCCGGATCCCAGGTTTCTGAAGTAGAATGGGGATGGTACTGTGTCTTCGGAAGCAGTGGCTGTCACCATCCTGGTCCCCAATCCTCCTTTCCTTTTGTCTTCCCCCTCATACGACCACTCATATTCATTCTAACTGACCACTCTACGGCAGCAAGGCCCTGGCTGTCACAATGTCTTCCAGGATTTTCGAAGGTAGGTTCGCCCCCAACCTGCCAGCTCCACTCTGACAACATTCGCTGACGGGACATTCTCCGTTTTCTACTCAGGCCACACGTCCATTCTCGATTGCATAGTAGGTCAGCCCCCAACCTACCAGCTCTATACTGTCGAAACTCCATGACAAGACCTCCGTCTTTGTATAATAAATAGGATCGCACAGCTTCATCTTACGCTTCTTCCTGCTCGCCCGTAAGTTAACCTCCAACCTACCAGCTCCATTGACAAACCTCGCTGATAATCCGTATCGTCGACGCGTTTGTGTTTGTGATTTGTAGCAGCAGAGATTCTGATTTCGTTCCTTGCAATATGGTAGGTTAGCCTCCAACCTACCAGCTCCATTGACAAGCCTCGCTGATAATCCGTATCGTCGAAGCGTTTGTGTTTGTGATATGTGCAGCAGAGATTCTCGTTTCTTTCCCTTTGAAATGGTAGGTTAGCCTCCAACCTACCAGCTCCATCGACAACACTCGCTGATAATCCGTACCGTCGATGTTCTTGTAATTATGCCAGCTGGAGGTGCTGGTTCTCTCCGCCGGGATCAGAAGCCCCATAGCAATAGGATGCCGTCTGATGTTTCTCTTTCTACCAGTCGCATTGTGGTAAAATGCTCGGCCGTCACCCATGCCAACTGCTACTCGTACAATCTCCGCCGCGACCGCGCGGTCGTGATATTGGAGCCCAATCACCGTCGCAACAGAGACCGACCTCGACTTGTTTCCGCCTCGAACACACTTCTAAAAACAAATACCTGTTCACCTCAGCCTCGTCCCCGAAGCCCAGAGCAGAAATGCCTCACCATTCAACCTCCCCTCCTCATCTCCACCATCCAGGCGCAGAGCTTCTTCTTCCTACCTTCCGATTGCGCGAATACATCCACATTCTCTCGGTATCCTGATGCTGATTCCGAAAGGGTATATATATACCAGCGGCTTAAAAATCAAACTCGATAAATCTCCCGCCGCTCCCATCCCATCCCTTCCAAATATCCGCCGCGCCAAAGCCGTCACCCCCCCCTTCCCTCCTCCCCTTTCCCTGTATCTCTGCGCCTGCAATCCACGCTATGAAGTCCCACCGCAGCCAGTCAAGGCCTCGACAGAGATATACATATCACTCATCACTCATTAACTACATTTCCATCCGCCGTCCCTCCTTCTCAAGAGCCTAGCCTAGCCTACGGATTTCTGATCTCGGTTCTAGTGCGCAACGATATATATACGACGAGAGTAAGTGAGTGAGTGCGTGCACAGCCAGCCAGCCAGCCAGCCAGCCAGCCCTCTTCCTCCGCGCTCTCCGATTTTCCAGCACCAGCCCCCTTTCAACATACCGTCTTGCACACAAATTTGCGACTCTCGATGCTGAAGCGCGGACCGGACTGTAGACGTTCAGGTGCAATCTGCGTGGTAGCATGCATGTGCAGGTAGGTATTCTATCTGCTGATGGGTGTGGTGGGAACGGAACGGGGAACGGAGCAGTCGAGAGAGGGAGGGAGGTCTGGATAAGATTATTTGTTTAAGCGAGTCTGCGGGATGGGTCGGTTGGTTGGTGTGGGTGGGTGGGTGAACTACCGGTAGTCCCGTGGTGGCGGGGGTTGTGAAATGGGGTAGGTATAGGTAGGTAGGTAATAATCAAGCAGTAAGAGTCACGAAGAGGAAGCAGCAGGAAGAAGAAGAAGAAGAAGCAGCAGCAGCAGCAGGAAACAAAAACGGGAGCGGCCCTAGGTAACATCTAATAGCTACCTTAGCTGAAGCGTCTTGGATTCTCTCGCGTCTATCTCTCCCACGTTCGATCTCGAAGAGGCGTCAACTCTCGCGTTCCTGGCAGTTACCGTACTCACCTACTTTCTTCTGTCAGGATCGACTTCGTACCGTGATTCGTAATAATGGCGATAAATAAAGTAGGTACGGCTGCCGCACGGTGCAAGATTGATAAGCAAACCGTTCATACAATAATAACGTAGCTCAAATAAATCACTGGATGTGGAAATCCCCTCTAGGTCTGCAGCTGACGTAGGAATAATTCAACCCTGCAAAAGGGGGT